GGATTTTGGTCAAGGAGAACCCCTAGCGTCAGGAAACCAAGTGTACGAAAACCGGTCGTGCGGTAAGTGTTATTATAAAATAACATGTATATAACGCGTGCTCTGATTGGTCGAAACCCGTGTTGGGATGAGGCTATCCAAACACGGAAGACTATCGTGTTGTTGTTATTTTATAAAACAACTACTTTATGGTTTCCGTGTTTGGATGGCCTCATCCAAACACTTGGGAATGTTGCTCGAGTTAAGAAAAGCGCGCAAAATCACTCGCCTTCGGCTCGTGTTTCGCGCGCTTTTCTTAGCTCTCGCAACATTCCCGCGTGTTTGGATCAGGCCATCCAAACACGGAAACCATAAATCAATGTTTTATTGTTTCAAAAGATAAACTGAAAACTACTGTGCACACAAAGAAGCGTATGGAAATCTTGATTTTCTATATTTGTATAGGTTAATATTTACTACATCAGTATAAAATTGTCGTGAATTTCGAATTAGATTAGGATATAATTTATACAAAGTTCTAAATTTGGAAATTATCCCCCATCTTGGGGATGCTGGGTGCACTTCTGTTGTCAGTTCCTTGGAGTTTGAGATACAGTGAACATGCAAAATGTCGAGAAATTATTTAATTTTATACCACCCATTGCCAGTGTAAATAATTTAGTCATTTCCATAGAGACTGTTTGATAGCACAATTATATTAAATGAAAAGCGAAAATATTAATCCCTGGCCAGTGTCTTAGTTCTCTCTCAATTGAGCCTGCCGAACACGCTAATTATTTCTCAGCAAATGATGGTTGAATTTTTGCCAAAAGTATTAAAACGAATACCATGTTACAAGCTGTCAACAACTTATTCTGTGTTGTTCAGAACAGGATGCAGCAATTTCGAGAGGCGCCCTGTTAGCAACTGTTGTCAACAATATTGGGCGCGAAAGTGTTATTGTGATTGACAAGATTAATAGTAACAAGATGTTATACTGTACGTCAAATCAAGTAATTTGCGTTCTATACTAGCATTGAGTCCAGAGTTTGGTTCCGGTTTGAGGGAGTTTATGAAGGCTGCTTCCATCAGTAAAAGACTTTTGTTTAATTTGTGTTAACAATGTCGGTCATATGGGCAGAAAATGTGTTGTACAGCCTTAATATAATTGTTATTTGTCACGATGTGTTGTGCGTCTTCACATTCTAAATTTGACAATTCACCATGCACCACCCACCAGACTTTTACATTGTTCGCCAAATCAAATTTGACCTGATTCCACCGTTACATCCTAACCCTTCTCCCTGGTTTAGCTTCTTCGCCACAGTCCTGACTTTTCCATGCACTACCAGAGCAAGTTGGTAGATTGCGTTAAAAGGAGATAAGGAAGAAATCAATTCTTTATTAGATGTGAAAAATAAGATTGATTTTTTGTGTCATACATTATCTAGTTTTGTTCAGAAGTACTGTCGTTCGTTAAAAAAAGCAACTGTGATGGGTTATCAGCAATTGTGTATGAGTGTCACACGTACAGATAAAATCATATATGAGCGCCGAACACTGTACGCTAATACTATACAGAGAAGGAGCGCAGAAATGGCCTTTTAATTTAACTTTAATCAATATTCTCGCGAATATTTTATTATCTATCTTATTATTGATGATATTACTGACATTATATAGCTATTATAGATATAACATCATAATATTGATATTATTGAGTGATTGGCTTAGTTTAAAAACAGTGATATTTATATATATACGAATTATTTGGACATTATTTGAACAGGAAAACAAGAAAAGGTTGGTTTTGGAGACGCAGAACTAGAAACAGGCGGTTGAACCCAGTTCCAGGGAAAAAGGTATAATTTTACATTGCAAAGTTTGTATGTACTATTTGGTAATCAAAACGTTATTATAACTCGAAAATATGTGACCTTTTAATTTTACTTTCCAGAGAATTGATTATAGAATGCAATAGCTGAGTTCAAACAAAACCTCATGTCATTGACATTAAATTAATTTATAATTATACAAATGACATTTATAATAATTTGTTTGACTCTTCATTGCATAAAAATATTACAACAAAAAATAAAATAGTAGGCTACTTCTGTCAATTTGCCTGTTTAAAATTATAACATTTTTCTATGGTTAACGTTTCATAAAGTAAACGAATGAAGAAATATTTCATGTGATAATTTGTTTAGATTTATATACTCATCGCCAGAATTATGGTCGCTTGACAAACTCCCAGTTTAAATGTTGCGCTTAAGGATAGTATCTTTTTAACTTTTTACCTGGAAGAATTAAATTTAATGCAAACAACATAAACTCTTCGTTTCAGCTCAACTTCGCGAGCGTCATCTATATCTACAGTATATAGTTAGCAAAACGCTAATTGACATAGGAAATTAGTGACTTTCAATATTTAAATTATAAACATACAGTTGCATGCATGTCTCAAATTTTGTCATCTTTTTTTTTCAAGCCTGTGTTTCAAAGTACAAATGGACTCTTAAAAGGTAACACATGTAGCAACACAATGAATAAATTTAATGCTGCAATCCAAAGAAAAAAGGACTGCACGGTTGAATGATTGTTGATCTATATAGTCAAAGAATGATTTAATATTGATTCAGCAAAAGGTCCCGATCTAATCGTGCCAGCAACGTAGAGGAAAATGGTTGGCTAATTCCTTTACGTATTATTAATGAGTCTGAGTTATCGACTTTACATCATAGATATCTTATATACACTATAGATAGCGCATCTCTTTTAGTAAAATTGAAGCTAAGAATATTCCAGCGGTTATCGCCATTTGAATAGATGGCGGCCATGTTGGAGTTTTCCACTCGCTAATGAACGCTTAAAAACAACAATAACTTTCATCATTTGAATAGTTTAAAAATGTTTTTGGAATAGGTTTAACTTAATGTTTAAGTTCCCTGTTTAAGAAATATAGAAAACATACGAGTCTTCTTATTTCATGGGAATATCCTGAGTTTGAAATCACTGCTTCAATTTTTGAATTGCAGAATAATTAGATGCACTATCTAATGTATATAAGATATCTATGCTTTACATGCAGTATTGTTCATATACTTTTAAACATGATACCCATGCACCCCGCCTACAAAATATCTTTTACTCAGCATAAACCTTTGTAAATTTTGCCATCCTCACTGCATGAAAATGAAATTCATATATTTTTAATTTCTTCGACAATATATAGGCCAGTCAATGTCGGAAACCATCTCAGGTTTTGAGGGTGTTAGGACTAAAGTATACCGGGATACAAAAGGGATTAAAACCGTTGGCGTTGGTTTTAACATGGAGCAAAAGAACGCACGTAAAACCTTCGAGAAGTATGTACCCAAGTCCGAAGTCTTGTTTGATGATGTTCTTTCTGGTAAGCAAAGGTTAACAAAGAAACAATCCCTCAATCTTTTCAAAGGAACACTTGATGATAAGGTGAAAACAACAAAACGCCTTTTCCCAAGTTATAACAAATACCCAAAAGCCGTCAAAACTGCTTTAGTTAATGGAGTTTTCCGGGGCGAATTTAAATCTACTCAGAAGACAGTCAAGTATATCAACAACGGTCAATGGGACAAGGTCCCTAAGGAGTATCTTGACCGGAAAGATTATCGCAATTCCAAACCTGGTAAGAATGGTGGCACTAAGACACGTATGGATTTTAATGCTAAAATATTCCGGGAATATGCGAAAGAATTGAAAAAGGGATAATTAAACAGTGAATTACTAAACGAAAACTTGCAACGGATATTATAATGACAAATGATATTTGAAAATGGACGACATTCTCCTGATCAGTTAGCACTAGAAGATATAGTGTCTTCTAATGAATTAAGTAAATTTGAATTGATAATTTAGATCTGAACATATGATTATATGAATAGTGTACGTATAGCGAACTAATTAAGTATAGCTTTTTACTGGTAATTTAGACTTATGCATATATATGGCTATCTGTAGTGTAACAAACTAAGTAATTTCTAAAATACAATAATTTGAATAGAGTAAATCTCTAAATGTGTGTGCTTCTAAATGTTTTTAAAAGTATTTATTTTCTTTTCAAATTTCCATCCGGACCCAATTATCAGATAACAAATAAACACACGAAAATTAGTATAACTTTGCAGGTCATATATATTTTCGATTCAGCTGTGCATGCTATGGAGACAACAATATCACCAATCGATTCGGAGAAACAATATTTCCTCGATAGTTTCAGTCAACATCTACATTCTAGTGATTTATGGCTTTTGAAAATCAAGTGAGATCGTAGACCTATATATAATTATCAAATTACTCGATTTTCGACTATAAATAGAAATTAGCCATGTACCATATGCGGAACTAGCCTCCTCCGCAGGCATCTCACCTGAGGAATCGGGTGGTCGGAAAAAGTTTGGTTTAAATGCCTGCCATAAATCAACACAGAAATTTTCACTGCGCATACCGGCTCGCGCATACAAATTTTGACAAATTCAAACTTAGGGGGAGTAGAAAAGGTTTACGGCAAGGAGTAAAAAAAAATTTTCTTTTCAACACGATGGCTTAAAAGACAAGTAAAACTGGAAAATTAACGAATAATCCAGTTCTTTAGCATTGCAAATACACAGAGAACTTTGACTAAGGAGCCGAGAACGTTATCGTGAGCCGGGGCAGCGATTTTAATACTGGGATTGTTTTGAGACGGGTGACTTTCCAGAGCAGTGAATTCACGTCGTCGATTCATAGGAACGAGCGAAAATTGTCAATATAAATTCAACTGTTGAGATCTGTTACTCTGCCTGCGGTATATACCTCTTGCCTTGCTTTAATACTCTTGTATGGAAGGAAAATCATTAGTAAAAGTCTTTAAAACAAATAGCTTATTGTAAAACAAAACGCTATAGCTTATTGTAAAATACCTTGGACAAAGTTATTAAACTTGAGTGTCTCAGATGTGGCGCAAATTAGCAAAAGCTTTCTTAAATCAATGGTCCTGTTTAAATGGGTGTGAGTTACGTAGACATAAGGAAAATGACAACAGGAATTTATTAATAAGAATCTAATAGACCTGTCTTAAATCTTAGTAACATTTGCCTTGCATGGATTTGTTAATTAACCAATGGAGGCATTACATTCCACATTGCTTACCAAGTTCACAGGCAAAATATTTACATGCGTAAAATCCATTTTGAAAGGCAAATTTCCCTGCAATCATACAAACAGTCAATGATGAAACTTTCCAGTGATAGCTATAGTGTTTTGCTATTGTTACATTACACAGCAACCACCCTGTCCCAATATTGAATTCCTAAAAGTCTTTCAATGGTGGCTATATATTAACTGTAAGCTGTGACAAGTTTACAACTAATGAATAGGCCTACATTTGGTAGGCTTTAGAAGTAGGTTTACATGTACATCTGGCGCCAAATTCTCGAGATTCGTGGACTCCACGCATTTTCCACGCGATTTTCTACAG